CATTCTTAAAAATAAATCATTCATACCACTTTTTCATTTTAGATTTAACGTAATTTCAAGGAAACAAGACATGTAAATCAGTAAAAACAGATCTTAAAGAAAAGAGACATTTCTTTTTTTTGTCTGTTTTTGGTGGCTGGCTGGTAGAGAAATCAAAGCCTCGATCTTGGTGTTATCAGCATCATGCTTTGCAAAGTGAGCTAACCGGCCAGCCCCAGAAAGACATTTCTTTTTTTTTTTTAAAAAAAGATGACCGGCAAGGGGATCTCAACCCTTGACTTGGTGTTGTCAGCACCACGCTCAGCCAGTGAGCAAACTAGCCATCCCTATATAGGATCCGAACCCGGGGCCTTCGTGTTATCAGCACTGCACTCTACCGAGTGAGCCACGGGCCGGCCTCAGAAAGACATTTCTTAAAGAATAAGATCAAATATTCTAATCAAGGTCTTTCAGTAAACATACTTACTAGAAAAAGGTGGTCACAGTTATGGAATGAAAGAAGGTACCAAAGTATATCTTATTTATATCATTTTTAAGACAATATTTAGTTTAGTAATCTTTTAAAGAGAGCTTTTTAATAAAGAGTTTTTCCTTCACCCCCAAAAGCCTCCCTCTTAGAATATATACTAATATATATTCATTTAAAATATATAACCATGACTTCAGACCTCTACCACAGAGGGCAGTTTACCCTAATTCGAGGTGTTTCAGGTTGAATTGTGTTTCCCCCAAATTCATGTGTTTGAAGTCCCAATCCCTAGTACTACAGAACATGACTGTATTTGGAGATGAGGTCTTTAAAGTGATTAAGTTAAAATGAGGCTTGCCACCAACCTGCCGCTGGAAGCACCCCAAACTCCCAAGCTGGGGTGACAGGTGGGGGGGGGGTCAGTGTGAAGGCCTTAGCTACAACCCCTGACCTAGCTACGACCACTGAGCTGCTTGCTGCTGCAAGTGCCCTCAGCCATGCCCCACCCATGTCTGCATCCATCCCAGCAACAATCAACCAAGCTGCTGGTGGAAGCGCCCCCGGCTCCCAAACCAGGGTGCCGAGGGGCTGAGGGCCTCAGCTACACCACCCCAATGTCTGCATCTAGCCCAGAGACTATCACAGAGCTGCTGCTGGAAGTGTCCCAGCCCGGAGCCTGAGGTACGCCCTGCTGAAGTCTGCCTTCAGCCCAGCAGTGACTGAGCTGCCACTAGAAGCCCCCTGGGTTTGCCTGCCAAAATGAGGCAGGTGCCACAGGCCTCAACCACACTCCCTCTTCCTCCTCTTTCCACCCTGTCCCCCTCCACTTTCCCCCTCCCTCTCCCCCAACTGCTCTGCAACATCTTAGAATGTAAAAAAAAAAATTAATAAATACATTTAAAAAATAAATCTATGAAAAATTGGTAAAATAATAATAATAATAAAATTTTTTTAAAATAAAATGAGGCCCATAGGGAGAGGCCCTAATCCAATATGACTGGTGACCTTATAAGAAGAGGAAGAGACACCAGGGGTACAGTGCACACAGGACTGACCATGTAAAAAGGCAACAAGAGGGCAGCCATCTGCAAGCCAAAGAG